ATCGGCGCTGAGAAGTGAAATTAAAGACGTACAGATAATTGCTAAAACAAACAAATTATTTATATTAGAACTTTGCAAAAACTCTTTAAACCAATTATAGTTTAGCAAAAGTAATCAAGCACCCTAAAAAAAATGGTTTTGCAACGACGCTTCAGTGATTTAGAGAAACAACTACCGTAAGGCAGACAACTACTCCTTCACTGAATTGAGACGTTCTAAACTAAATTTTTCACCAGAATAACTCTTATTCCTATAAACATTAGTCACCGTTTATTTGGTCAGAAAATTGCTAAGAGCCAGTTTGGTAACGTTTTTATTTCTTATTTATGTTTCTTTATTTCTAATGAAAAAAAAAATGTATTGCAAGTTCCAACCTCCAAGAATTCAATTATGATAAAATAATCTTTTTATTTATGTTTTGGAACAAATTGGAAATGGGAACAATAAAGGAGAAACTTTTTTTTGTTTCCAAAATTTCTATACAATTGTGAGAATGTTACCAAAAAAGGAGAAAAAAGAAACAAAGTTAATTGTAAAATGCTTAGATTTCTTAAGAAAATTAGAAATGAGGAACCAGAAACAGGAACGTTACCAAACGGGCCCTAACTAGCTGAACAATTCCCTGTAAGTGTGACCCACCATTTTCAGACCTCAAAGGTCTGCCCCAATAATCCCGTCGTAGGGAAGGACAATATTTGAGCAAAACATAAGAAACCTTAATCAATTTATGGAGTTTGCCTTGGTTTCGATTCCATACAATGGACCCTCGTAGGGAGGATCGCTCTAGGACGACACGCATGTCATGTATGAAATCTTACGATGCAAACTAATGGTGGAGACCATAGGATGTGTTGTCACACGTCCTTCTCCCACTTACTATGAATACTATCTCTATTCACCTCGATATTGAACCATGCAAACACCTTTCATAGGGAGGTCGCACCCAGGGCGACACAAGGTCGAGCATGGAACTCAAAGTGTTGACTTTAAGGAGAAACATGAGAAAAAAGATATATGATATATACCTTGTATATCAAAAATATACGTAATATATTACATATTCTCTTTTCTCCCACTTAGTATTCTAAGAGTAGGGTATATTACTTAAGTAAATTCCGGCTAAGTGAAATTAACTAAGTCAATTTTTAGTCGGCCCAATATAACTATTTTGGGTAGTTGTACACTAATGTTTTAGTTTATTAAACGTTTTAATAAACTAATGACATTATTGTATGCATATAAAAATATTGACTAATTCAACCCCTATATCAGTTCATAGGTAGAGGTGTTCCTTTACGGTCAGCTTAAGTACCTCAACATAGACAGAACATTGCTAAGACAAAGTTCCCTTATAAGCAATATTTTATAATTAAGTTTTTTTTTCTATAAGAAAAAACTCTATTCTTATTAGGAAAAAAAACTTTGACGTAAGATTTAATTAATTAATTTAAAAACTCTTTTTAAAACAAATTAATTAACCCTAAACATGCAATACTAAGCTTTAAATATACATATAACAATTACACATATAATTAAACTTATATAAAACAATTACATTTACTAAAGAAATTTCATGCTCAATGCAACTTATTTTTCCATTAATTAACATAACAATTATATTAATTACAAGAAAAATACAACATCCTTCATATAAAATTTTTATTAATACAATGCATTATCTTGCTTTAACCTATGGTGGGATTTTAATCTAAATGACATACTTTATGCATCATATGTTTAATTAAACATACATTCGTAATGCATATAATGGTTAAATAAGTAGCAAATTGGACTTGGTTTCTGCATCCTAGAAGTATATCAAATTAATATAATCATGACAATATTAATTTAATTTAATCTAAGCAAAACGGAAAAAAAATCAAAACAAAAATATAATAGTTAAATAAGTAGCAAATTGGACTTGGTTTCGGCATCCTATAAGCATATTAAATTAATATAATCATGACTATATTAATTTAATTTAATATAAGAAATGTGGAAAAAAAATCAAAACAAAATAAACAAATCTGTCGCTACTTGAACCCTATCTATTTCGACAGGGTAACATTAGATACTCAAGGAAATGTCTCAAAATTGTATTTATTTATGCAATCTGCATGTATTTGACTTAATGTTTTAATGTGAATTTTTTTTCCCAGATTTACGAACACATCCTCGGGTCTTCTCCTTTAACATCGAAAATTCTACTAAATCGTGGCCAAAAACTTCCGAATTCATCCAGCAAGTACGATACAAACTTACAAAATGATTTACAACATTAAATGCCCAAAAACATCGGGCCCTTTACATTAATCAAATCAAACGAATTTGTAAATCTAATCGGCCGTTTGTTTTGTGGGAATCTAAGATTCCCGTGAGACGGGCATCTGGATTCTCGCGTTTGTTTTGTGGTAATGTAAGATACCATTTGGAAGGCATCCGAGTCTATTTGGATGCCCTCTTGAAATATGGATTTCCATGATTCCCATGTCGAAGACATTATATGTTGACATTTTTACCCCTTCGTTATTTTTTCATATATTTTCTTTTATCAAATTTCTTTAGTTTGATTTGTAATTTTATAGTTCAAATAAATTAATATACTCATTGACTTGTAAGCAATTAAGTATATTTATATATTACATGTATATATAAAATAAACTTCAATTAAATTATATAATATCTCCATTTACTTTATGAATTATTACGAATAATATCTATAATCTTAAATACATAATTTTAAAGCAACATTTTTTTAACGATCAGCTTACCTTTGATATTTTTCTTCTTAAAAGAATATAATTTGATAATATAATAAATGAATTTTACCCCATATAATAGTAAGTATATAATTGTATTTATTAAAAAATATTAAAGTTGAAAATGAAATTTATATTTATTAATTACTTTTAAAAATATCTTATATTAATATGAATTCTACCTAATAACATGCAAAAATTAATACATATATGCAATTAGTATAAAAATACCTAAAATATTAAATTAATTTTAAGAAAATCTATTATAAATATGAATTATATTAGATTAATGTATAAATTATATAAATATTCGTAAGGGCGTTTTTGGAACATTATATAAATTTAGAACATTCTCATGAATAAATCCTGCAAAACAAACGTGGCTATCAATATATTCTCGGACATCCTTATATATCTTCCTATGAAACAGACATGACCATATGGAGATACCGGACATCTAAAATTCCAGGCATTTGAAGATGTAGGACATCTGCATTCCCAAATAACAAATGACCCTTAAATACCAAAACCAACAAACATCCAATTGCAAAACCAATAAACCTTAAACATCAAAATGAAGAAGAAAACCCACCATGTTCTGTGCAAAATTTCAATAGAAAATTTAGAACTAAAAACCGCACTCTGATACCAATTTAATTTAGGGAATGTGAATCTCGGAGCAGAAGTAGTATAACGCGTTTTTTATTTTTTTTTTGAAATTTATAACACATAAAAATATAAAACAGGGAAGAATGTTGGATTTTAGTGTAATCCCCACTGAGACAACACTACTAGATTTTCCTCACTATGTCTCTCAGTCGAGAATCCGGATTGTGGGATCCAATTGCAGGGGGTAAGAAAGTTAAAAATAGTTTTTTTAGCCTTTAGCACATTTTTAGGGTTCATTATATTTATAGAGACGGAAAATCGTATCACAAGATATCTTATCCTTTTGGATATAGGATATCTTCCCCGAATCTAAATCTCAAGATCATCAATATCATCTTCTTTTTATTTAATTAATAATAAACAAACTAATTAAATCAATTAACAATTAATTAATTTAATTATTAATTATTTATCTAATTAATTTAATTAATAATTATTAATATAATTAATAATTAATTAATTTAAATCCAAATATTAGTCAAATGAATAAATAATTAACAATTAATTATTTAACTTTTAATTAAATATCACATATTTAATTAAAACTATATCTTTGAATCATATTCAAATGCATCTCTCTTGTATAATCTTTAGTTTTAATAGGAATACAATTCATATTAATTATTTGAATCATATTCAAATATTTCTCTCATAACATATAGTTTAATTATTGAATCTTTCTTTAAAAATAAACTATATATATAATGTATCATCATATACATTATATATATTCCCTGACATATAATTCAAACATTTCAAATTATGTCAAAATTTTCATCCTAGTTGTTTTACCCGTTGTGAGATAGCAAGGGATTTAATGGACCTAAAGATCAGAAGCTCCAACGATACGAGATTAATCAGTCAAACTCATGAACTGAGTTAATCAACATTCGTTAACTGCAGGTCACTCCACTAAAGACCCGCAACTGCACTCTTCCCACTGCATAATATTTTCGTGTCCACGGATGTACGACCATTAATGACAAGTCAATCCTTCACGAGTGCTCGTAACTCTAGTTGGGTCAAATTACGGTTTTACTCTTGAGTTACATCTTGGTCCTTAAATACCACTGTTCGTCTAATGAACAAATTAGTTATGGTCGAACAAATAACGAGAAGTCCTTCTCGGGCTAGTGAGAGGGTGGAGCCCATTGTTCAAGTTCCAGAGTCAGCATATAAGGGAACACTCATCTACTTCACAATTTATTTATTTATTTTTTTTATATATAGAAATTGCTTCGTTTTGTTTTCTTTTTATGCAATCTCAAACAAATGTTTCTAACCATTTTGTAAGTTATCAAATTTTCGCTATGACCTTCTTTTTTATCACTAGTTTTTTAGAATTTAAAATGTTGAAAGCACATGAATGTAGAGTAACGTCTCTGGTTACTCTAAGTCCAAAAAGTCACATCATTACAAACCAACTTTATTGGTTCAACTCTTCAATTGATATCAATAGTTTGAGTTTCATTTCATCCCGTCCATATAGTTTTTAAAGTTTAAATTTCACCCATATAAACTAAATAATTGTTTTGACAGATTAAAAAAAAACAAATAGAACAATGACACAGCTAAATCCAACGTTGAACTTCTAAATATTATAGATATTTATGTCTTCAAAATAAACACAACTTTAGAACGTTATATATAAACCACCATGGTGAACAATAGCACCAAATTATTCAGATTATGGATAAACATTATTATTGCATGAGATTAAAGAGTTTTTAAAATATAAAGCTATTAGCGCAGTTGGAACTAGCAGGATTGCAGTTGATAAGCGTGACACCATCATCATCAAAACACATCACAATCTCTATCAATCGAACATTCCTACCCGTTCCTCTACAGCGAAGAACTGGTTCCTTTCCGAATTGTGCTCGGATGGCACTTTGCACTCTTTGCCTCGATTTGGTGCGCCCATTTGGAGCTAACCCACCAACTCTGAGGGCGTTCATAAGGTCAAGACTATCCCTCATATTAATGGCCATTTGAAAGTATGCTTTCATGTCAAACTTACTCTCTGAGCAAATTCCATGTTTGTTCCACTCATGTCCCCAAAAAAATCTATTATTTCCCGTTATAACATTTGGCCAAACTCTGTTCAGATCATTTTGTAAATGGGAAACCTGAAACCAAAACCATTTTCTAGGGTTAGACTAATATTATTTGGTGGTAGGCAAAAAAATAAATACTAAATAAATTGAATTACAAAAAAATGAAGAGGGACTGAAAATTTTACATTTTAATTGTATATTTAATATTGCAACTCTGAATTTTTTAATCAACAAAGTTGAATAAATGATTCCAAATAGTATGATTTGAAGTATTTTAATTGATTCTAAATTATTTATTTCATTTTTTCGAGAACGATTTGTAATTTATATAAAAAAAATTGTAATGAATATAATTAAAAAAAAATTGTTTGATGTTCGCTGGATAACAAAATCAAACAAAAGTTTACGAATAATATTGTTTGGCAAACTAAATAATGTAATTGAAAAACTTATAAAAACAATATAATTTTGAAAATAGAATATAAAAAATATAGTTTAAATCACAATTTGGAAGTCAATATATTTTATAAACTAATGTAAAGAATAAAGTGATATTTGCCTGTTCCATCTTAAAACTATCTTACCATAGAATAGTAGTATATTAGATCTTTTGATATGAGATGTCACTCATTATTTTGGACTCATCAATCTTGGCTGAATATCATTTTTGCACGCTCGTTTGAGTTTATTCAGCTCTTAATTATATCATGTCAAGATTCATGAAATTTCATCTCAAAATCAATTAGTTGTTAGGTCGTCGTTTGATATTTACCGCGTGGGATCCTCAACAGCCATATCAAAGATCATGTTTTGAACGAAATTTTCATATTACTTTAATTTTGATTAAAAAAAAGTTGTAAATCATATTACTTTAATTTTGATTTTTCTTCTTTTTTTCAAGTACAACATGTGGAAGTAGAGGATTAAACTCACAACCTCTTGATTGGAAAAAAGTAGGCTCGCTCTAGCATTTCAATCTTGGTTTATTAACCAAAAAAAAAAAGTTAAATTAATTAATTTAGCTTAAAATTACATGAAAGTCTACGTGTCCAATAATTTATGTCTGAACATGCTTTAACTAATATAATTTTAACACTAACCAATAACAATTTAAAATCCATCCAGGTTTAAATTTTCTTAGAATTCACCGAAAGATAAATAAATTAATAAAAGAGTAATGAGAGCAATTTAGAGAAAAACAGTTAAATAAAGGAATAATATAAACATTTTTAATTTACCAAAAAGCAAATTTGAAGTGTTTGAGTTTTACCTGGGTGAAATCGAAACGAGTGCCAGAGCAATTAATCACAGAGGTACCTCCCTTTTGAGGCCACAAGCCATGGACGGTAAAGGTTCGTAGCCCTTGTCCGACACATCGACCTTGCTGAAAGTTACAAACAGCTGGTGGCCATTGTTGAACGAACCAAAAGTTATCGAAAGCTTGTGATTTAACAACGGGGAAGAAGATAGTTATGGTTAAGGCAAACATGAGCACAACTTCTCTTTTTGAGATAACCATTTCTCTTCTCATGTTTAAAATCCAAACCTGGTGAGAATGGTGTTCCTCACCACCTCTATTTATTCTAAAAATTTTCAGATCTGTTTGTTTCTCTGCAATTATTGTGGCGTCTGCAGCATGTACATGCCCGCTTGATAAGGGAAAAGTTTATCATCTTTGTTATCATCATTATTAAGCTACAATACATTATCCTTCCAAAACTAGTTGTTGTTTTTTTTTTTTTTTTAATTATCATTTATAGTTATCTTGTTTTTTTCCCGAGAACTTTAATTGTTATATTTTCATCAGCTTTCAACCCCAAGACTTTGATAAAAATTAATTTTGAGAAAATATGAACTTATTCCAAAACCCAACATTAGGCATAGTAAATAGTGGTTTCAAATTCATATTTTCGGTAGGTGATGGTATTGAAAAGATAGAGACCTGACAATGTTTATAACATACATAGGATACAAGGGTTACTATTGTCATTGTGAATTGATTTCCATATGTAACCTCATTAATATTGATGTTTATGTCAAATATTTTTATAATATAATTAGAAAAAATATTCAGGGATCAAAAGGGAACAAAAATGGAAGTCTAGGGACATAATTGACAAACTTTATATTTTACCCATTATTATATTATTTTTACTTTGTATTGATAGAATTACATTTAATGGGTCTTTGTCCATTTAGGTTGAGTTTCACATTTTCTTTTTTAATTTGAACTTGTTTTTATCTCTGTATTTTTTTTAAACCATCACCCGAATGCTCAGACTACAGTAGTGTCGGAGCATTTTTAGGTAATATTAGAATTTCACATAACACTTTGGAAAAATTTGAAAGTTAGTGGTTTTTTTTTCCTTTTTTTATCTTCAAAATTTATAGTTTTATAGTTAAAAGTGGATTGTGAATCTTTGACAAAGATTAATAGTTGACAACGTTAAATGAAAAACGCAGAAGCTATACAATTTAATTTGAAGTATAGAAGTTGTTTATGCAAGGATATGCACAACAGTGTATTTCAGATTGCAGCTCGAACTCGGCCTCCGGACCGATCTGAATACTTGGGCAGACCTGCACAAAAAGGTGAGCGCTCCGACGATCAAGTCAGTATAGGTCGGATTCCCAGTTTAGTTCGAGGTCAGAAATCATCGTACCTGATCGCGGAGTGAGGTCCTCTACTTATGGGTGGTAGTCCCGCTAATCTCGCGACGGTTACACCTGGTAATCTCGGGACCGTCGGTTACACCCGGTAATCTCGGGACCGACGGTTACACCCGATAATCACGCCGCTGACAGTAGCTCACATCG